TGCTGAACAGATATGCTGGATAAGATTTTTCTTTTTGGCTATTGTTTTTACTGTTATTTACAGGATCAATAAAAGTGATTTTCCAATTCAAGGATAATTTTTTACCAACAAGCTGCACAGCCTCTAAGGTTGGAATATTGGATCTGCTCTTTTTCAGAACAAGTTAATTTAAAAGTCATAGGTAGTTTCCAGGTCAGAATTAGTCTTTCTAATAGAAAGGAGGGATGCATCTGGAAGAAACACCTTAGCGGGGAGAGAATTTTGCCTCAGAACAACATCATTACACACTGACCACAGATACTTAATGTTTTAGCTGTTTTTCTTTAAAAAATAATCACTTAACTGCACACAATACTTTAATGACAAATGCAATACAATAACAAAATGCAGAGCTGTTTTATGGTAACCCTGGTTCAGTTACTATTGAAGTCTGTGCAAATACTCCTGTGGACTTTACTGGGCATTGACCGACACCCTCTGTGAAGTGCAATATAATATTTTGTGACCACTGTGACCATAGAGAAGAGCATTTCATGCCATTGTGGAAGTATTCCAGGCCAATACCAAGTGTATTCACACATACAAGTTCAAATGCTATTCATTCTTTTGCACAGTTATTTTTTCTGATTCTTTTGTGACCTGTTGAGAAAATCATGTATACATTACACATGTGCATGTATGCACACACAAATACACACATATTTTAATAGATACTACATTTCTCCCCTCTGCATTTACCCGTCTCCCCCATTGCATACCTAAGATGAGAATCTCCATTCTAAAAGGACTGTCCGTGTGACAGTCCCTTTTGCAGTTCTGCCTGTATGGTTGGTCTAAGATACAGCTTTAAATGAGTAAAATCATGCAGGTATCATTTTATAAGCAGGAGCCCACACCTACTATCAATATGAATTTTGCAGGATAAGAATGAAATAGTCAAGAAATGTTCTTCCAATGGAATCACTGCAAATGAGCTTTACATGCCAGAAAAGTTGTTCAGATTTTTAGGTTTTTTTTAAAGGGCAGTTTTTTAGATCAAAGTCAACACATCTGAAGCCCCAGAGCATCACCAACCATAAGCACAGTCTCTCTGCTCTTCTCTACTCTAACACTAGGGCTTTTGGGGTTATTACCCATAAAATACATAGTCTGTGGAAGTCCACATAAAAATCAAATGCCATTAACTTTTAGAAGCTTTGAGTTCAGACCCAAAAGATAATAAGTCACCATGTTCCATTCTTCTCAAACTCTACACATCCATACACTTTATTCATTTAAAAAAACCAACAAGAAAAAACCAAAAACATACACACTTTATGATTTCCCTCCCCTTCCTCCTTTATATATGTAGTATGTGGAGAAAAAAAAAGAGGAAGATTTGTTTGGTTTTGTTGGATATTTTTCAGACAGAACAATTTGATGATGAAGATTTCTTAAAAAAATTTAAAAACTATTTTTCTTTACCGTGATTAGGGTAAAGTTTTCCTTTTTTAGATGATGAGTTGTTTATATGTTCCAGTAAGAATCTGGCTTTTGGATGGCTGTGTTGCTGATGAGAGCTACTGGCAATAGAAGCTTTCTAACACTCAACTGCTAGTTTATTAAAAGAATAATAGGAACAGATGTTTTCAATTCATAAAGTGTATCAAGTAAATGGTACATCCACTTGTTATTTCAATTCCTTTGAATTTTAGTGAACTCATTTGGGGATAGGTTTTCAAAAGAGCTTAGCCCACTGTCGCTTCATTGTTCTCAGTATAAACTGATGGATGATGAATGTGTTTGAAAACCACAGCTTGTTATGCCTAACGGGGAGCTGCTAACTACTGATGCTTCTAAAAATCTGGCCCATGTTTCTGATGAGTGAATACTGATCGTTATAGAGGATTCATACGTGCAATCTCTGAGTAATACCCTGCATTTTTCTGTGATTGTATATATGATGGCTTCTTAATTTACTATTGCACTAGGCATTTTAATTTAAATTATGCTAATAGTGTAGGATTAACCGTGGATTATGAGTCTAGCATTTGCTCTCATACAAACAGAAGAAACAGTTCTTTTGCTCCTGCAGTCTCTTTCTCCCTTCTTATCCTGATGTGTAGTAATTTGTGCTCAGGACTGGCCTCAGGTTTTGATGAGGTTTCTTGTTTAAGCTGATGAAATTGCTTAGGGAAAGGGAGTTGTTGGAAATTAGAAAAAGAAGAGACTGGGATCTTTTTATCTTCTAGTGGCACATTTTTATGGTGCTGAAATGATTTACGGAAAACGATGATTTGAATGGGCTCTTGCTAGCATTGCACAGTGAGCAGTTCCAGTTTTGCCTTCATTCCTCTCCGGTTGGACAGGCTACTTGTACTTTTTTGCTTTTGCTTTTGCACTCTTGGCTCAAACACATATTTGAGTAAACTAGTGTTAGGGGGTTGTATTAAATCTCTTACAAGGGTGAAGAATAAATAATACATGCAACAGGACTGAGATGTTGTGTTGGTCCTTGCTAGGGGAAATACCAGGAGGCCAATGCCGTTGCTGTCTCCAGTACTGAAAAAAACTTTGTAGGAGCCTCATATTGCTCTTCTTGAAGCATAACGTCTCCAAAGATCTCCACTCCCAAGCTGCAGATGTGCTGGAAACACGAATTTGCCTCATTATGTTTGCACTTGTTTCATTGTGTGGCAACCTCAGATTGTAATGGCATGCAGCCTGTTTGCATTAGTGACTTGCTGTTGAATTCATCTGCATTCCTTCAGATCCCTCATTTGTTGCATTTTTTTGTGGAGTGCTTGATATTTCTAATGGCTTTGTGTTGTGGTAGGAGTCTAAAATTTGCCTTTTTTCTCTTTTTTTCCCTCCAGCTGATATTATTTCTACAGTTGAGTTCAACCACACTGGAGAACTGCTGGCTACTGGTGACAAGGGGGGTCGGGTTGTTATATTCCAAAGGGAACCTGAGGTATGTCAGTTACCAATGCAGTCCTTAACAGCTTGCTAAAACCTGACTTTATTTTTAATACCTTAATTGGATCTAACTAACAAACTTCTTTGTAATCTCAAGATTCATTAAATCAGAATGTCACCTTTTTGGAGAGGAAGTGGAAGAAGGTAAGGATCTTTAGCTTGGAAGTTTGCTGTCCCGAACAAAAAAGCTTTAAAGCTACAAAATTCTAAGCTAAGAAAAAAGAAGGTTGTTTTTTATTTACTTCTACATTGTTTTAATAGCTTTTGCCTGTTTGATGGAACCATTCCATTTAAAACAATGCCTTTGCTGTGATACCTTTATGTTTTGCTTTAAAATTCAGTCCATCTGCAGTATCTTCTGTAGAAAGCTTTACTGAATAATTGACATTTCTTAAAAAATTCAGCCTTTTATTAAAAGTTGCTTCTATCCTTACAGGAAATTTAATTCCTGGAGAAACTAATCTGTCAATATCGTGTTTTAAATGAGAAATTAAATTACACTTTCAATATTTTTACATTTATAAGGCTGCTTATAAACCTTTCCAAAGAGATGGAGATATATTGCCATCATAAACCTCATTTTTTTGTTGTTCTTATTTTCCGTAGAGTAAAAATGAGCCTTACAATCAGGGGGAGTACAATGTTTACAGCACTTTCCAGAGCCATGAACCTGAATTTGATTATTTGAAGAGCTTGGAGATAGAAGAAAAAATAAACAAGATCAAGTGGTTACCACAGCAAAATGCAGCTCACTCACTTTTATCAACAAATGGTAAGATAGCTGAGAGTATATAGGATGTATCAGCATTTTGCTCTTGTGAATTTTAGTGCTGACTGTATATATTTGTTCATTTTAATCTACTGTTTCAGTAATTTCCTCTTTCAGAGTTTACCAAGACTGTCATACTGACTCTGATATTTGTTATTTACGCATTTTATTCATAGTCATAGGGTTTTTCATAATGACTATCCATGGACATTTAGAGAGCTTTCCATTTTTGCTATTAACCTGCAGTGCTATCCTGAAATAAATTTTGTGACAAAGGCATCACTGTACTCAGCAGCTGTGTTTCACTGAGGATTTAGAATTTTGTCTGCTGTATTTGTCATAACTTTTATTCTTTGTAGATGTGTAAATGAATGTAGGTGAGAAAGATGAATTTCTCCTTCTTTTCATTCATTATCATCAGAATGGTTTATTTAAGTTC